CTTCAATCTTGTTCTTCCTTGAATTCGGATCTTCAATTCCAATGACATCTAATTCCCATAGCTGTGAAATTGGTTTGTCCTTCAGAAACATTGTATGAGTAGACATGACGTTAGGGGAGTCTGTAGATACCACTGCTGTAGATGGAGTCTTTCCTAATAAGGTCCATCCTAACAAGGTTCTTACTGCAACGAGACCTGAACTCAAAATTATTCGCTCATCCATTAAAAGTTTTCCAGCGACATCTGCACCAATCAAAATATCAATAGGCCCTGAATGACTATCAGAAATTGTTACCCCTAACTCCAGTAACTCCTTCATCCAATTCCCCAGTCCCGCAACTGGTAAAGCATTGCATATTTTAATTTTATCTAGAACTTCAAAATTGCAAGCGTAGTTGGTCTCTGGGTTACTAAGTCTGACTCTATAACAAGTGTGTTCTTCAACTTCACTACTAACTCCACCGAACAGTGAATGTTGTAGCCTCTCTTTTCGAATGGCTTTATACTTCATTTCTTTTGCAAGTTTCTGAGATATATAGGATCGCTGCGATCCTGTGTCAATTAGCGCTCTCACAAACTTAACCTTATCATCGCTTTTGATGCATACACTTAGCGTTTGCAATAAGACCTCTGATCTGGTATTAGCAGATAATGAATTTTCAACTTGGGCTTCAGAGGCTTTATTGCCACTGCCATCTTGCTTAGGCCTAACTCCCTGCCTACACATTAAAGGGACATGTCTTCCACCGCAAATGTTGCATTGCAATTTGGCTTTGCAATATTTGGCTAGATGTTTTGGTTTCAAACATAAATAGCAAAATCCTCTTTTCTTAAGAATATTTGACTTTTCATCATAGGTGAGTTTTCTAGCACTAAAGCAATTCTCACTACTGTGCGAACCTTCACAAAATACACATTTTTCAGAGTTGATTTAGACGGTACATCAACTAAGTCTGAAGCGGATGGAATTCTAGAGTCATTAGTTGTACTAGGCGAATATAAGTTTGGCCTTCCTACTGATTTACCCGTACTTGATGTCAAATTTGATTTATTCCTAATAGAACCGCTCCTATGCTGACTTACCGACTGACAAGATTCAAAGCCATCCATAGCTAATCTTATTCTTTCTTCTGATTCAACTTCACCTTTTAGAAAGAGAACAAGGGATTCTAACTTTGTTTTAAGATCTATAGGTTTATCCCCCGAACTACAAAGTGATCTTTGCCATGCCCTAAGACGTTCCTCAGAGAGACATGACTCAACTAAGGGGTACAGTAAGGCTGCACACTTTTCAGTAGTTACACCCAAAGTATCTAAAGCTCTAAGTTGAGTTTCAATCCTATCATACAAAGTTGAAATGGGAATCTTTTCAATAGAGTTTTGAAAAGTTATTTTCAAAAGTTCCCTAACATAGATTTCCGTTTGTAAGTCTTCTCTCCCAAACCTAGACTTCAGACATTCAATTACTTTGGGGTAATTGTCAGCTATAGGTGGAAAACTAATGACTATTTCCCTAGCCCTAGATTTGGGTTCAGTAGCTTGAATAAGATATTGAAATTTATCTTCATCTTTAAGTTCAGAGTCTAAATGAATCTTTTGGAATTGGCTCCAAAAGTGTAGCCAATTTTTCAAATTTCCATCAAATTTAACAAACTCGATTTTAGGAAGTTTTATTCTAGCTTTTGAGGTATTCGGTTTACTTGAACATGATTTACTACAACTTGAAGCTACATCCTCATTAGATTTCAAAGTCAAACTGTCAAATTTAGCTTTTATCAGAAAGAACTTATTTAAATACTCATCCGATCCGCTGAGTTCTTCGGTGAGTTGCTCCTCCGGACAATCTGATTCGAGAAGTTTTTCCAGTAGCTTATCATTGAGTTCATTAAGTTGGTCGTTCTTTTTCTCTAATAGTTTCATACTTGCTTCGATTTCAGGGTAATCATGGTCGTTGGAATTCAATCTGTCCAAGATACTTTGCGAAAGAGTTGTAAACGATCTCCGAATTACCGTTCTCTGTTTCTTAAGTCGATTTATTTCGATCATTTCTTGTCCTGTCACGGTCGCCATGTTTTACAATTCTTCTGGTTGTAATAAAATTAGAATTGTTCTCAATTCCTGTAAAAGGATTAATTACCGAAACAAATCAAACTTAGAAACAATTAAACATTGTACGGTTCAACTTTTGTGGAAATTAGACCTTTCGAACTAAATCACAGAAAAAATCAATTCTTTTTTGAATGTAACATTTTCATCATTGTTTTATTCTAGAAAACTTACAAAAAGTCAACATAAATCAACTGCCAAAATTATACAATTAAAATACAGCTGATTTTCAAATTTATAAAATATTAAGCATAAGTCCAGTCAAATATAAGCGTTGATCATAACTTCATCAGTCATTTTCACAATCCCCCTTCCAATCCCCATATCCTTGCTAAGTAGGATGATTTTTTTTTTCTCAAATAGTCGTACAATTAAGAATGATAATAACTGTCTTGGTATGGTATATTTGTTTGTTTTATATTCTTATGCCTCAGGTAGACTGCAAAATAGAAACCTACAGTTTCCTAGCATGAACAGTAGAATTAAAGTATTTACTTAACAAGTAAAAACTTTATAGTCCTAGTCTCAAACATCGATTAAAAGTTAGAAATTCGTAAAATACAATATATCGAAAGTACCATGGATATTAGATCAAAAGGGAACAGTATGGATCATAAACATATGATGTTACTGGCCTGAAAGTAAACAATTTGTATTATTATTTAAATGGAACTGTCAAAAAAACTTTAAAACCAGCTGATACAGTCATTAAGCAAAGATTACACATCGGGCCAGTGATGTAATTTATTTATGTTTCTGTTCTAATATCCGAACGTATTATAGAAATTAGATTGCACGGTTATTTGCTTTATTTTTAAATATGTATTACTGAAACTGAATGTCATAACTTACGTACTAGCAGTAATGTTGTGAGCATTTCACGTCATCGCAGCAATATCCGTGATGATTTCTTGGAAATTTGGCAACAGACTTATCCTGTTTCCATTAACAGGCATCTAGATAAGAACTAGGCTCCAAACAAGAGGTGATGGTCTTATCACATGGCCAAAGCCTCATGGGATGAGTGGGATTGGGGACTGGTCTTCCGACTACCAGACAGCAACACTCCAAGAGTAATACAGAGCACAGAGATTGTTGAGTAAACAATATTGAAATGAAGGAGAGACAATAGGTTAAGTCCAATTAACATTTAAACACTAGTTTAAATACAGTATGCAAAACAAGTAACTATCTACATTGTTATTACCAAATTATCTATATTGGAGCTCATTTTAATCGGTATTCACAATTTGTTAAATCCTGCATAGGACTTGATACAATATTTTTATTTACATTTCTTTTCTTAAATGTTGTTCTTACTTGAGTAGCTCAAATACAATACTAGATGAGAAATGGATGGATTCTGGCCGGATAGATAGTTTGTAGATTTATAATTATCAATACAATCATTATATCCACAAAGATTGTGCCTGTTAAAAGATAACTAGGCCAACATGCCTTTTTACTTGGCAATCAAGAGCAAATGATTGGACGAGAGTTGGTTTATTTTCTTGTTGAATAATAGTAAAAAGATTCATATAGAATATCCCATTCAGTTTAGATGCTTACTTTGATCAGTTCTACTAACTTGTTCTCCCATCTATATCTAGTAAATAGATTTTGTCAATTGAAATCCTGATGGTGAACTATTTTTGATTTGTTATTTTATACTGAAGCTTTCAAATGTTGAAAATAATATCGTGTTTGCAGGACCTGAATGGAAGATGAAAAGATAATTGTGCCACAATAAAGACAGAAAAACCTCTCACTGAACCCAGAAATTATACTTTTTTCTTAAATATTCAAGTGATAGTGTATATTTTACTGTTTATGTTTCTTGTGTCAGAATGGATTCTTTCATATAGGCAAGCTTGCAATCCCATCACCCTAGAGCCTGGGCCCTCGTGACCTATGTTACACTATATTCAGTTGAAACATTTAAGAATAATACAAACAACAATGAATGGATACAACTAACTTACCTAAGAAGAGAGCCTCAGGCATTTGATAGCACATAACAAGTTCCCAGCACAATAAACTTGATATTTCAACCCTATAGAACATATTTTTAATTCATTTTTTCTCATTTATATTTCTACTTCTGTTTCTCTTGTAGGGGCAAAATATCAAGTTAGTGTTGTGAACTTTTGTGTTCTTTCAACTGCCTGGAACTCTTTTCTTAAGTTAATTGTGTATCCATTTCTGCTTCATTATTGTACTCCTAAGTTAATTTTATCCTCAAAAAAACTTGTCTTATGTAATACTAAAAAAACTTAGGTAATAAAAACACAAATTATGTTTTATCAACATAATTTAAGAAATCAAGCAGTTTGTTACTTTACTTCATCTAAAGACTATTCTTTAAAATGTCATAACCGAGAAATGTCATTGACTAGCTTCACACGGATAAATAAAAGATACCATAAATTGATATTTTTAAAGAACTATCTCAATACCCATTCATAACGACTCCAACTAGGATAGAACTCCTTGAAATTCACATTTCATGTTATTGGCCCTGACCAGCTTCAAAAATCAATCGAGGCTACAAAACACTTAATACACCTAAATAAATTATTATAGTCTTTATACATTTTTCTTTACCGTCTCATTTTTATAGAATAACTACAGTATTCAATATGCCAGTCTCTAAAGTGACCTATTCTAAGACAAATTGACATTCGATAAAACAAAGCTGGGTTAAAAAAAATGCTATCAATGGATTTCTCATATTTTCTAACTATTTTAATGCAATAAACTCCATATTCCTTACGAATATTTATTCAATTTAATTTTTACAACTGTTTCAAAATGAAAGACGAGAGATAAATTTACTTCTAGTAATTTTGACAATAACTAGATTCCAAAATATAAAGCAAAAGGATTAACAAGATCATACAGGTTTATGAAAGTTGATTAATCAATATTAGTTGTCAAAATTATAAAAACAATTTGTCAATAAAAGGCTAACTCTATTGTTGACCAATAAAATTGACATTTTGCGTGAAAAGGTGGTGGTGTGAGGATTTTATAATCTGACAAAAATAAATTTTACCATACAAGTTTCTATACCTTTACACTTCACAATTAATTCAAATAATTCTTTCTCTCAATACGAATAGGAGTTGTTGAATTCAAAATTTTGACAACTGTAAAGCTGGCTTTGATATCCACACAGACGTTTGTGTACCTATTTTGCAAAAATATATATTTTACTCAAGCCTAACTGCAATTAACAATCTAGAACCTGGCATTAAGTCTTTAATTATGTATAAGATACATGAAGTCAAAATTTCAAATTGTATAGTATTAAGCTTTTTAATAGAATAACTATTTTGTGCTAGCACCATGTCTAATCCTTAATAGGAAAAATTTCCCCAAATTTCTCTTCCCACCCCACCACACTTCAGTTAAATCTATTTAAATAATGGTTTTTATCAGCTACTTTGTGACTACTGTAGTCTTGCTAGATCTGTTAAACGTTTTCTTCAGCAAAAATATATAATTTTGTAGAAAACTCTATAATTCATAAGCTATTGGATTTTTTCACTTGATCTTTTCATAGCCTATTTTGAAGTTATTTACGATTTAAAATGTAATTGACCTTTGACTAAAGATGCTTGACCATGATTTAAACATTCCATTTTCCCACTTAGTTGTAGCCAGTTTGAAAAAATAAAAATAGGGACTGTCTCTATGGAAAATTTGCTGCAAGGTCATAATTTTATTTAAATAATAGCAGAATGTGCAGCTAAGAAATACTGTTTTCTCTCTTTACACCTCCGATTAATGCTATAATTAAAAGATAACTTATTAGAGCATATTTTGTGTCCCTGCAAACTGTCATAGTACTGTATGATCAATTAGAAGGGAAAATCTGACTCAATAATAAATTGTGAGAAATCATCTCTATACGAGAGACCTATTCAACTCAAACTGGCTAAACCTGGTCAATATGGATCAAAAGTCAATGGTTCAACTTTGCATAATGATGGTATCAAACAAACAAAAACTTAAGCAAAGCTTCAAATACTAACAACTTCATCAACTTAACAAAACAGGATAAAAAATAGCACTAGCTAATAAACTAAATTAAAAAAAACTACCTAAAAGCTCTACTGTAATTGGTGTTTTAATAAATTAACACTAAACACAAAATAAAACATAAACAGTCAAAAACTTTGGTATCAAATGGTAACATTTAACTTACACTATGTCTTGGAAAACAAAAACAAATGTAGCCTATATATTTATACTTGAAACACTAATGAACACAGAATTGACTTTTTTGCCTCATTCCTCATTTCATTGTTTTAAATAAATGAATAACGAAAAGAAATTTGTCAACTGTTGATATTGTAAGCGGTTTACTTCTGTTTAAAAACATAGGTTCAAGATGGTAGATTCATTTCATAATATTTTCAAATTTATTTAGGTAAGCTAATAAATGATTAATATTGCAACTTTGAAAACTATTTGTTGAAGGTAGGGGATTTGGATGCGGTCTAAATATACTTCTCGACTAATAAAATGTGGAATGAGCAATACATGTATCACAGAAGACACTAACTACAATTAACACTACATACTACAAGTCTAATGGCAGCTATTTCAACATTCCCTGATCTGTTGAGTTATGATCAAGTTAAACGATAATCTTTAGGATGGTTACCGATACTTGGTATTTTTGGCAACAGATTGATATACAAAGGGTATTGGGAAGTTCAAATAAGTAGTCTAGTACCAGTATAGTTTGTCATGTTTAACTAGGGAAAAGAAAAATTAATTCACAAGAATACAAGTTTTTAAAGTTTATCAACTGTAGAACTATTGATTGTATAAGGGCTAAAACATGCGGCTATAGTTGGAAATGTTACCAAGTAAAACATATTGTCTGAATAACAGTAGTTTTTAAATAAATTACAGGTTGAAATAATATAGGGTACAAACATTAGGGTGACTATTTTTTTTCAGAACTCAGAAATGGTATTAAGATGAATACTGGAATTACTGAAATTATCAAGGTGAATTCTGCCAATATAACTGAGATTTAGCAATATATTACTGAATAAAATGTGATATTCATCATTCAGACATTCATATAGGAGCTTTGAGGACTTCCAAGGTAAAACTTAGATTAAGATGGAATGTTAGTTTAAATATGTAAGTAAAACTTCAATACATTTTGGGTTCTTTACACAACGTCAAACTACTCATGGGCTGATTCCTTACTTCCAAAGCTTCAATGAATTTCAGAAGTCAGAATCAACTTCCAAACTGAAAGTGGTCTTTTGAAAACAGTGACTTGCCCAGTTTCTTTCCCTCCGAGTACAAAAACACTGAAAGATGTGACAGGATCTTTGTCAGCTCGACTAGCACTGCTTGCTCGGTGGTTATCTCTAAAGTTCTTCTTCCTCTTCTCATTTACGTGATGATTATAATGATGCGGAACTATCGACAGGGACTTGGGTGGAACAGGTTTCATTTCTAGCATCTCTTGTCGACTGTTACTGCGGCCGAAAGCATCTTCCAAAACACTGTCAGGTGGACTGCTCAAAACCTTGACGTATTCTTCTTTCTTCAATATTTCTTTGATGTCAGGACCCATGTAGTTTGGGTTGGAGAAACTGTAAGGTCCTTCTTTGGTGTATGTGACTCTGTTCATGGTTTCTATACTCGCGTAGTCCGACGTCTCATCCGAGGGTTCCTCTGGAGTAATGCGGGGATTCCCGAACCGCACGGAAGCTGACTTGGGAAGTCCTTTTGAGTTTTTGGGCCTAAACTGTTGATGGATGGAAGAAAAGTCTTGTCTGGGTCCGGGGATGGGAGCTTCTTCGTCGTCCAGGTAGACGAGTTTTGTCACCTCAACTGGAGTGAGTGTACAGGAGGCGAGGGAGGTGAAGTTCGGCACAGACACGGGGTCTCGTGGAAGCACTGAGGTCACATGAGGGGTGGTCACGCAAGGAGAGGCGAGTGTCCGAGCTATCAGGTTTACACTCTGTGACTTGACCATCTCCCCTGTAGAACTGTCTGATCCGATGCTCTCATTGCTACTCAGAACACTGAAAAACACAAGGGACTGATCAAACCAATAAATACTAAACTACTTAACCCTTAAGTAGGTATGAGCTCTCTATATCATATTATATCCTTATGATATTGTTAAACATATTGATTTCTGTGGATGTTTTTCTATACCCTTTAATTTAAACTGTAATTACTTATTACGCCACACTACATTATTTTGACGAACTTCCCACGCAAGCATTTAGTCCAGAAAACAGCTGTTTGCCGCCAGCTTATTCAAATGGGGTTTCATTGCGTAATACTGTTCTGCAATGAGTTTTACCGGACACCAATCAGCTGATTATACTGTATTTAGATGGCAATGATTGGTTATAAACAAAAACATAACCTCTCTTAGAGGTTATGGCTGGTGATGTTTAGTCCTTTAGTTGGTGGAAATATATACGGATTTGTACGAATTAAGTAGTATGGCGTAAACTATCGTACGTAACTCGTCCAAAATGTGTGTACCGGACTCGTATGGTAATCCCGTACTTGACTTCGTCTCGCACGGGAACGACCACACTCGTCCGGTAAACACTTATTTTCAGGACTAGTAACGTAATATACTATTTCGTATCAAGTGAAAGCTTTTACTGCCTATATGTGTGTTGGAAGTCCATCCTCAGAGCTTTGCCCATATAATATTTTAGAAAGAGAACAAAATAAGAATATATATTTTTACCTTGTATGCTGGCACCTAAAATGTACTATTTATATCGGGATGAATATTAGAAATTCAACAAATATTCAACCTCTTATTCAGTTTATTAGATAACTTAAAATTCACCAAAACTGCAGATTCATTCTAAGGATGGTTAAAATAATTAGATCACCTTCAGCTTTAATTCTTGAAAATCCACCCTATATGAAGGTGTCAAGGATTTACGAACAGTAACAAGATTCAATAAAATTGCATTATCACTAGGGCACTCCTCTCTTCAAATAACCACAGTGAAAAGACTATGAGTGACAGATTATTTAAGGTATATGCCAACATTTCACTCTAAAACATTATTTAAAAATAATTATATAGGTAAGTTGTTTGCACAGCAAATGAATTCACCTGTAGCTACATTTGGTGGGACCCAGTCTACTCAGGTTCATCTGAGACAGTTTGGTGATCTCGCGCAGTATACTGAGGTTTGCGGTCGGCGTCGTGGGTTGTTTCCGCACTGGGGTACATCCGTCGTAGCCACCTCCGCTCCACCTATGGTACCGTCGGTCGACTGAGCCGCCCGCGCGCAGTCTGCGCTGGACAGGGGGCGAACTTCTCTGCGTAGCACTCTCTCCCAGTAGCAGATCTGATACTGTCAGTGCAACACTCTCAGACCTAGGCTGCGGCTTTATACCTTCTGTGTGTAACCGCTCCCAGCTCTCCGTACCTGTATGAACATTAGATTATCTACTTAACCTATGCATTGATTTTGATCTCTCGGTATTCATTTCCCTCACTCTTGATTTCATTAGCTTGTAACCGTACAGAACCTAAAACATCTGCCTACACAAGTTTATCACAGCGATGTTCTGAAGATCAAGATGATACATTTAAGTTTATGTTCTAACTTCGAGAAAGCTTATTGAAGCCGAGCATTTGGACAAGCCGAGCATTCCGGATGTTCGTGATTCAGCAGCGTGCTTTAGATAGGCCTACGTCCGATCTTAATAACCAATAATTCAAATGAAAGCTGGTATTTCACTGAAGGTTCTTAGATCAAAATATAATTTAGTAAATATATCTAAAATGAAATTACATATCAGAGAACTAATCAAATTTATGTTTTTTGATTGAGTAATACAGTAAATTTATCTTGAACTTAACTGATTCAAACGATCAATATCTCAAATGAAAGCCTGTATTTCTAGGAGTATTTTCAGACCAAGACATATAAAATAGGAAAATAAAAATGGAGGTACAATAAATTGATTGCAGATAAGTCTTAAAATAATAATGATTATTATCGCGTGCTCCATGTAGAGTACGTTTGATCTTAATAATCAATAGCTCAAATATAAGCTGGTTTTTCACTGAAGGTTCGTAGACCCAAACATATAGGATAATTTTATTAGAACTGGTGAAATACGTCTTTAATTTAAGTAAGACTTTGAAAAAAATAAAATTTATGTTTTTTGATCGAGTAATACAGTAGTAATTTCATCACCATTTGAATGGTGATGCAAATCTGTGTGTGCATCCCTTTAATTTAAGACCAAAAATATGAATATCAGTTGGGTAGAAGAGCCATAACAAACTCGTAAAAGAAAAACCAAATTTATCTCCCATAGGAAATGTACAGGGAGGAAGTTGCTTTTGTGCATAACTCTTAAAAGTTAAGCCAGATAAATGAATGCCGATGCTTGATAGCAAATCTGTGTGTACCTTATTTAATACTAAAATTATGAAAATCGGTTGGATATAAAAGCCGAACCAACTCAGAAAAGAAAATTTTTTAATATATAGGTAAATTTGGAATCCCAGTAGGTAACATTTTTACATTTAGTATGGCTTTGGCTTGGGAAGATTTTCTTTTCCAACATATGCTTTGCTACAAGCTATTGTGGTTTAAACCATAGCAAGTTAATCGGCTTTTTTTTAACAACTACACTTCAATAGTAATATTTTGCATTTACTCTATAAGTACAATTCTATGAACATGCTATTCAAACACTCATGGTTTTCAAACACAAAATTAGCAGCATTAGGATCTTGTATAGTAGAAAAATATAGCCTAACCTTAATTTACATAGATTTGTTTGGTTCAAGACAATATCTTATTGTTTTATTATTACCAAAATGAAATCTCCACAGCTCGTTAAGTGGCTGGCCGTCTCTTTCTCCTCCGAATACTATCATGGACGACGGCAGCTTACACGTGGCGTGGCTGTGTAGTGGCCCTGGATTCACCTTTGTCTTCACAGAAGTCCAAGTCTTAGATACTGGAAAATTATGAAATTATTTAGTATGCAATTTGTTATAACACAAAGACCCTTATTGGCAAGAAATTAAACCAGCTACAGTAGAACCCCTAATATCCGGCCTCAGAATTTTGAGCGTTCTCGCGGTTTATCTGTTTCCTGTTCAGTGTGTTTTGTTCAGATACATTTTTAGAATGTTCACTACTCAGTTGAGCTGGTAGATTACCAAAAGAGACTTAAAAACTACTTTTAACAAATCACAAGTTGTTATTGGGAAACGGACTTTCGGCCTGCGCTGCCCCTGACTCGGCCTGGGCTGCCCCTATTATGTGGTGTAAAGGGTAGGTTTCTCGGGAGTAGGTACCTGACCTGAGCTTGCGCTTTACCCACTAAATCCCAGGAATCTCCCGGAAATACCTGTGGGGTGGTGGACAGGGTCGTCGACACAGGAAACAGGGCAAATAGCATTGGAGCCAACCTTCTAGGAAATACATTACTATTGTATTAGAATACTGCTGTAATCTTTGGCATTAACGACTCAGGAAGTGATGGTGTCTACGGGTGGTGGATATCCGCCCCAAATAAACCTATTTTTGTTTCAAAATTTTAGATTAAAAAATACGCAAATTCTTACTACATATAATAAATCTTTTATGCTTCTTTTAATACTGTATATGATAGTGGTTTTTAGTACTGTATTATGACAAATTTAAATGTAAAATACTTGCAGTTATTTGAACTTGAATTCATTATTTCTTAGGCCGCGAACGCTAAATATGTAACAGATGTTCGTTTACAGTAGTTAAACAATAAAAAATAGTGCATTTCATCACTAGAGGGTACCTATTTAACAGTACTGTATTACGAAACATTTATATGTAAAATACTTGTAGTAATTTGAACTTGAATTCTTTATTTCGTTGGCCGCGAACACTAAATATAAAAGTAACAGATGTTTGTGTAAGGTAGTAAAACAATACAAAATAGTGCATTTCATCACTAGAAGGTGTCTATTTAACTTTACTGTATTACGAAACCTTTAAATGCAAAATACTTGTAGTAATTTTAACTTGAATTCTTTATTTCGTTGGCTGCGTACGCTAAATTTTGGCCGTAAAAGTTTAATTTTGATACTTACTTGTTCTGTGTTATTTCACCTAATAACAACAGTACATTTAATTCCATCCAACATAATTTTTGTTGGAAATGCACAATGTTGAATTGTGTGTTCCAATTATTAAATTGCAAATTACATTAATTAATTGTTGAATGAAATGCATAGGGGCATTTAATTCCATCCAACTTAATTTTCTGATTTTGTATATAACAAACTGTAAATTTATTTTATTGATTGTAAATATCTACATCACTAGAAGCCTTTTTTTAGTACGGTAATTGATCATTTAAACACTGCAGTTACAAGTTTAATTTTAATATTTTGTTGTACCAATACACCAGACTGTTAATTAATATATAGGATTATATTTTAAACGCATTTTTATAACATACTTGTCTCTTGTTACATTGGTTTAGTTTTTAATTTCGTATTTTATACTTAGTTTTTATCTGGTTTTTACATAACAAATTGTTATTTACTTTCACTTTGTATTTGCTTGTAAATAGGACACTACCAGAAGTTTTTTTAGGTAAACATTATTTTAAACACTGCAGTTTTTTGTTTACCTTACACCAGACTGTAATTGAATTAAAGTAGGCCTATCATTATTTTTATACTACGTCTCTTGTTTAAATTATCTGAATGAATGTACTACGAATGTACATTCAGCTGTTAAACTACAATTCACACTTTAAACTGAAACAAGAGGTTCTACCCGTGAATTCACGGGTGAACAGAAACCACCATTAAATTAATTTAATCAACTTTGACTTTATATTTCATTTAAAGGGCCCAAGTTCGAGAAATTTTCATGTGAAAGGATGTTAAAGGCAGTGGAACCTTCATACCTTACGTCCTAAGGTTGGCCGAGGTTGTACCTGAACACGCAGCTCTCTTTCGCGACATCTTTAATACTTTTCAATGAAATTGCGATCTGAGATCGGTGACAACCTCTTGGAACGAACAACATACATGGTTTGTTAATCTCATAGTCATCATGGTTCGAACACTTTTAGTTAATCACTTGTAACAAACCGCTATAAATAGCTTCACTGTCCATTCACCGCGACTCTTTTAAGAACGTAAAAGTAAATAATAAAATAAGTAAACAAAAATGTAAACAAACAAACTATATTTTCGATTGCATTGGCCAGCTGTTGTTCACTAAATTAATCAAATAATAACTTCCAAAACATGCAAGGCGTAGCCTTTTGAAAATCAGCCTGTGGGGCAGAGCCCTTAGGGAGTTCGTCCATATCAATACTTTTCGGCAAAATCTACACACTCTAAGCTTAATTTTGATATGCCATATGCCTATATTTTTATTTGGTAAATGGCCTTAACCGTTTACATAAAATTTGATTGTATCACTGTAATAATATAATATAGCCTACTGTTGTATGGATAATATTTTTACGCCACACTACATTATTTTGACGAACTTCCCACGCAAGGATTTAGTCCAGAAAACAGCTGTTTGCCGCCAGCTTATTCAAATGGGGTTTCATTGCGTACTACTGTACTGTAATGAGTTTTACCGGACACCAATCAGCTGATTATACTGTATTTAGGTGGCAATGAATGGTTATAAACAAAAACATAACCTCTCTTAGAGATTATGACTAGTGATTTTTAGTCCTTTAGTTGGTGGAAATATATATGGATTTGTACAGATTTATTAGTATGGCGTAAATTATCGTACGTAACTTGTCCAAAATGTGTGTACCGGATTCGTATGGTAATCCCGTACTCGACTTCGTCTCGCACGGGAACGACCACACTCGTCCGGTAAACACTTATTTTCAGGACTAGTAACGTAATATACTATTGTACTATTGAGTGGATGGATTCTTATGTAAACAAGCCTTGAAATCATATTAAGTGAGACTAATTCGTCAACGTTTGTGATCTATGAAAGCTATAGTGACAATAGGCGGATGGTGGCCCCACCTTCTGCAATAGCCTATCTATAAAAGCTATAATGTATATACAAAACTATAATATCTATAACTAATATTATGATGGTCAATTTATACATATCCACTGTTTTTGTATCTTGAACTGAGGTGACACATATGTCGTCAAATCGTCGTTAAAATTGGTTAAAAACTGTTTAAATATACAACTTTTAGCACGGTGTTTGTAACTAAACTAGCCCAAACTTAGATTTAAATCCATTTAATACCTGCTCTTGCTCTGGAGTGCTCTGGGGCTCAGGTCCTTCTTGGAAGTACCGTACCTAATCCTATTCATAGTTTTTGGCCAGCTTGCTGTGTCAAACACCCCATATCACCCCTTCCCTACTTCCCTCTTACCCACAAAATCTTTTCAATTTACCTATAGGGAATCTTTTGGGGACAGCAGACTCAGAGCTACCCACGTTCCCTATTGTTTGTTGCGGAGGGTAAGTTTCTCATAATCACCCCAGGCCGAAAGTCCTACACTCGTTGTTATTACATATACATATTATCGTTTTATTAATAGGTTGGTTTATCCGGCCGTTCAGGGGTTTTACTGTAAAAAAATACATTAATGCTTACTTTTACTATTATGCTTGGTGATCATAGTTCACTATCACTGATCAGTCATCCTTTCCATTTTCAATTCAGATGCCAGTTGGCACTATCTATCAACCAAAAGGTTACAAGACCGTTCCCTTACAAAACATGTGAAAAACACAAATGGCATAAGGACACATACAGAAAAATAATTACCCATGTTGAACCTCCATAGGTCAGAACGCTCGTTGAGATCAGTCATTCCTCCGTAGATCCACATGGAGTCGTCATGGACCACAGCTGAGTGTTTGTGTCGTGCCGGTGGACAGTTCTGACCAGAAGACAACAGGTGCCACGACTCTGACTCTATAGAAACAAATGGTTCTGCACTTAATGAAAAATATAAGTATAGTGTAAGGAGCTTGGCGGGATAGGACCATCTAAAATAAATGGTGGAAAGCTTGTCTGAAAGCTAACTAGAGGGTGGAAGGTAAAATAAATGGTATCAGCAATCTGACACATACTTTCTCCCATAAGCTTGTTGATAACATTTATCATGGGTAGGAGTAACTGTTAGAGAGGATAAATTTATATTCTTGTCATATAGTACATGCTCCAATCTTTAGGCTATCAAGTGTCTATGTAACTTAGGCCTATATGACTTCTTCTTCTTCTAAGAATGAATGTATTATTCTTCCTATGTCCGGAGTCGGTTGTGAGGTTATGTAATGTCCTCGTTACTTCATGTGTGTGCTGTTGTGTAGTAACTATAATAGACAATAAAATGTTCCATATCCACATCATTGCGCGTCATTTAATAACCCTAACAGTGGTTATGGGCCCAGAGGCCGTTTGTGGATATGGATATTAATAACTGGAACATTGTGATATCAGTTTGTTCACGGGTTCGCGAGTAACGATTGATCCTAACCTACACATAGGTTTTGCCGTGTGCGACTACGTGAGACTTTTGTTCATAGTTCTGAAGACAGTACCGACAAAAAATGAGTGCTTCTTCAGGTCTACCTATTGTTGAAAAACTACAGGGGAGGGAAAACTTCTCAACTTGGAAATTTGCAATGAAGGCATATCTCGTACATGATGACCTTTGGGATGTCATAGAGGAAACCCCACCGGACCCGATCAGTGACAACTGGAAGAAAAAAGACAAGAAAGCCCATTCAAGAATTGTTTTATTTGTGGATAAGATTAATTATTCTCACATCAGAGACACTAGAACGGCTGCAGAAGCTTGGAACGCCCTGGAAAAGGCCTTTGAGGATTCTGGCTTAACAAGGAAAGTTGGCCTACTAAAAACCTTAGTCACAACCACGCTTGAAAAATGTAAGTCTATTGATGATTATTGTGATAGAATCATAACAACAGCTTTTAAGTTAAATGAAATGAAATTTAACGTTAGTGAGGAGTGGATTGGTACCTTGCTACTCGCAGGTTTGCCTGATCACTACAAACCGATGATCATGGCATTAGAAAATTCGGGAACACCTATCACTGGTGATTCCATCAAAGTAAAACTCCTTCAGGATGTGAAATCCGAGGACTGGACCGGTGAATCTGCTCTTTATGCCAATAAACAGTTTAGGTCTAATAAGTCGACACCGCTAAAATGTTTTAGGTGCAATAAGCCTAACCATCTAGCTAAGAATTGCCCTCAATTAAATGGTAGTAACAATAAATCAAATAGGCCTAACCAAAACAGTAGGTTTAGACCTAATGAATCTAGATTTTCAGATAGGCCCAATAAAAGTAGGCCTAATGAGTACAAACATGAAAATAGCCATGATACAAGTAAGAAAAATGCTTTTCTGGCTGTAGACAGTCATCGGCGTACCCATAATGAAGGTTTATGGTACTTGGATTCATGTGCGTCCACGCACATTACAAACGATGTAAATAAGCTTAGCAATCTAAAACCAAATAGCTGTACAATAGTTTCAGCAGATGGTTCAGATCTAGTTGCAGTTAGTTCTGGCACTGTAGATCTTGAGCTATATAATGGTAGTGAAGTTGTAGACGTAGAAGCCAATGATGTTTTTCACATACCAAGTTCGGCAGTTAACCTACTATCAGTGAGTAAGATAGTTAAGAAGGGACACACTGTAACCTTTGACAAAAGTGGGGGTTATGTTCATAATAATGAGACAGGTAATTTAGTTGCAACAGCTCATCTAAAAAATGGAATTTATTGTATGAATACAACAGAAATAAAAAACTGTTTTTATTCTGAGAATAAAGGTATTTTATGGCATCGTAGATTAGGCCATCTGAACCGGAAAGGTATGTTAAAGCTGTCTAAAATATCCACAGGCTTAGACGACAATATTGTAGTGGAAGATCCATGCGAGCTTTGCATAATGGGAAAACAGACACGTTTACCTTTCAAACGGAGCAAAATGTACTCTGAAAATATTCTAGACCTTGTACATACAGATCTCTGTGGACCTATGGAAACTGCATCTGTCGGCGGACGAAGATACTTCTTGACATTCATTGATGACTTCTCAAGACTCATGTATGTGTATTTTCTCAAAGAAAAATCTGAGGTGACAAAAATCTTCAAAAGTTTCAAAGCCATGGTCGAGAAACAAACGGGAGCGAAAATAAAGAAAATCAGATCGGATAATGGTGGCGAATACGTCAATGAAGAAATGAAGAACTATCTTTCTTCTGAAGGAATTGTTCACCAACTTACGACTCCCTACTCCCCTCAACAAAATGGAGTCGCGGAGCGAGCCAATAGAACATTAGTTGAAAAAGCTCGAACAATGTTGTTTGATGCAAACCTGCCTAAAATATATTGGGCTGAGGCTATTTCTTCAGCTGTGTACTTAACAAACCGCTCGCCTTCAGCAATCCTTGGAGATAGAACACCTTATGAGATATGGCATGGGAGAAAGCCCAGTCTAGCTCACCTGAGAGTATTTGGATGCAAAGCCATGGTACAGATACCAAAAACGCAAAGAAAGAAATGGGACCCAAAGTCACAAAAATTTATTTTTGTAGGCTACTGTGCATCAACAAAGGGATATCGACTTCTCGACCCTAAGACGAACAAGATTACAATCTCTAGGGATGTAATATTTTTGGAAAACCAAAAAGAAGAGGATCCTGAGACCAGTCAAAAGTTAAATAAGCAAGTTCAGGAGAACAACGTAAACCTTTCAGCACAAATCGAGTCAAGTGAAGATGGATCTGAAGAGAACGAACATCATGCAGAAGATAATCTCCCAAATGAAGATGAAGCTACTGATGATGAAGATTTTCTTGGTTTTGAAAATGAAGACGTACCAAGTGAAGCACCACGACGATCTGCTAGACAGAAGAAACCGAAAACTTGGCCTGATCATGTAATATACTACAGTGAAAAAAATGATGATACAGAAATCACCATAGAAGAAGCCCTAAGTGGTGAAAGATCAAAACAGTGGCAACAAAGTATTGACAAAGAAATACACTCCTTGATAAAAAACAAAACCTTTGAAGAAACTAGCCTACCTATAGGTGTAAAACCATTGAAAACTAAATGGGTACTAAAAATTAAGCCCGCATGTGAAAACCAAGAAGAAACTCTCAAGGCGAGACTGGTAATCAAAGGATGTAGCCAGATAAAAGGGATAAATTACGAAGAAACGTTCTCACCTGTGGTGAAATATTCATCCATACGATACCTCATATCCTTGGCAGCCAAAGAAGATTTGGAGATAGATCACATGGATGTGACAACAGCGTACTTGTACGGAGATCTTCATGAAGACGTCTATGTCATACCACCCAAAGAGATCGCTACTTCAAAGGATGGAAACGTTTGGAAATTGAAGAAAGCCGTCTACGGATTGAAGCAAGCTGGAAGAAATTGGAACAGAAAAATAGACGAAGTGCTATCTGGATTGAACTTTACGAGATCTCAAGCTGATCCGTGTGTTTACTATTCAAGACAAGGAAATAACCTACAAGTTATTGCTCTATATGTCGATGACATGCTGTTCTTCTCGAACAACAAGAAATCCATGGAAAAGACGAAGAGTACTCTCAAGACTCACTTTGATATGAAAGACCTTGGACCTGTCAACCATTGTCTCGGCATGACCATCACTCGAAACAGAGAAGCTGGAAAAATTTGGATCTCTCAAGAAGACTACACCAAGAAAGTTCTACAGAGATTCGGTATGAGCGAAGCGAAGCCAGTAACTACTCCACTTGATCCAGGTTTGGACTTCACGACAGTAAGTGACGAAGAGACGGACATGGTGAGTGTTCCATACCAAGAAGCTATCGGTAGTTTACTGTATTTGTCACAAATAACAAGACCAGACATTTCTTTTGCTACCAACTTATTAAGTAGATTCAATAACTCTTACAGTAAGGTACACTGGTTAGCAGTTAAAAGAATTTTTAGGTACTTAAAAGGGTCTGTTAATTTTAAATTGGAATTTTCAAGGGAAGAGAATAAAAATGTAATAGCCTATTGTGATGCAGATTGGGGAAACAAAATAAATGAAAGATATTCTGTTACAGGTTGTTTGTTAAAATGTTCTGGTAGTTTAATATCTTGGTTCAGCAAAAAACAGAGAACAGTAGCATTGTCCACTTGTGAGGCAGAGTATATGGCATTGTCATTTACAGTTCAAGAATTGTTATGGTTAAGACAGTTAATCTCAGAGATTGATCCAAAAAATGCTCTGAACCCATTTGATGTATATTGTGACAACAAAGGTGCTATTCAGTTGACAAAAAATTTTGTAACTAATGCTAGATCAAAGCACATAGATATTAGGTATCACTTTTTGAGACAACATGTTGAATCAGGGGTTGTTTGTATTAAGTATCTACCTTCTGAAGAAATGTTAGCAGATGTTCTGACCAAGCCCCTAACAAAAGTTAAACATGAGAGTTGTGTACAACATTTTGGAATTGTTAGGCATAGTTAGTTTAGGGCCTAACATATTCTTTTCTGAAATGCATAAACCTAGCAAAAATGAAACATGTTTAGGGGCCTAGTAAATTTTTCTGTGTGTTTTACATATTTTGCTGAATATAAATTTAAGGGGTGGTGTTAGAGAGGATAAATTTATATTCTTGTCATATAGTACATGCTCCAATCTTTAGGCTATCAAGTGTCTATGTAACTTAGGCCTATATGACTTCTTCTTCTTCTAAGAATGAATGTATTATTCTTCCTATGTCCGGAGTCGGTTGTGAGGTTATGTAATGTCCTCGTTACTTCATGTGTGTGCTGTTGTGTAGTAACTATAATAGACAATAAAATGTTCCATATCCACATCATTGCGCGTCATTTAATAACGCTAACAGTAACTATGATATTTTATTGGGAAATATCACAACAGTTGCAACAACTTTTGGACTGTAACTGTTACAGCAATGGAGGGTTGCACCATTTTGTTTAGAATTATAAGGACCATAACTCATTAATTTTAATCAAAACCGACCTTTTTCTTAAAATCAAATTTTTTTTATTTTATGGAGTTTTTATGGAAATATATCATAAGTTACAATAACCTTTGGACCGTAATTTTTACGGAAATGGGATTTGTACCATTTTGTTCCAAATTTAAAGGAGCATGAACATACAAATTTTAATCAAAACCGGCCTTTTAAAAAAAATCTTATTTTTTTGGGGGGGGGGGGTTTATGATGGGAAAATAAAAAAACCTAATTTACAATAACTACCTAATTGGGCTACCTAATTTACAATAACTTTGGAACCATAATTTTACAGAAATGGGATTAATACCATTTTGTTCAGAATTTAAAAACTACAACATACTACATTTTTTATCAAAACCGTTCATGCCACTTTTATGAAAAATCAATTTTTCTGTTACGATTATTCACCATTAAAATCAAAATTTGGAAAAAAATTATAAATAACGCCTGGATATACAATGGGTTAGTACCCATACATAGCAAATTTCATCAAAATCTGTTTACAGGCGGTGTCTGTAGCTAGCTCTGTACACATACACACACACACATACAGACATCACTTTGAAAACCAAACATTTTTAACCAGGTTTTTTTGGCCAGTCAGAGGAACCCAAAACGGATATACACTCAAAACTCAAACTAGAATATTTGGACAAAAAATACTTTCTCCATATGTACAGGACCATGTATAGGGGCCAGGGGGGGAAAGTAAAAAAGAATTCTTTGCTCACAAATCGTTTCTTTGTTACCTTTAACTATGGATTGAGGATATGGCTTATTAAAATTGAGGCCACTTTAAGAATAAATACCCCCGCCGCAGCAAACCTGCAGACTAAGTGAATTTCTATTTGACTGATTGGATTTACACTGAAATGTCTACTTAAAAACAACATTTATTCCTGATTTAAATAGAATATAGATTAAATAGATCATTTTTGCTCGAGTTATCGTGCTAACGGACACACACATATATATATAAATATATATATATATAAATATATATATACTAGCTGACCCGGCGAACTTCGTATCGCCTAAGTTATAGGTTTCCCCTAAGACAGACCGATGGAAAGAAAGTACCGTTACGTTTAATTTTCAAGATGATCTCGTTCGCATCGCTCAATCACGTCCTGGTTGAAGTTCGTTCGCTACGCTCACTCACCTTTGGGTTGAAGTTCGTTCGCTACGCTCACTCACCTTTGGGTTGGAGCTCGTTTGCTACGCTCACTCACCTTTAGGTTGGAGCTCGTTCGCTGCGCTCACTTGCCTTCAGGTTAGCTCGTTCGCTACGCTCACTCGCCTCCAGGTTGAAGTTCGTTCAGGTTGGAGCTCGTTCGCTGCGCTCACTTGCCTTCAGGTTAGCTCGTTCGCTACGCTAACTCGCCTCCAGGTTGAAGTTCGTTCGCTACGCTCACTCACCTTTTGGTTGCAAATTAGCTGTTGTCATAAATGTAAAAGAAATAATAGTGCTGCACCCTGTTGGTAATCCTTGTAACTTTAATGCTATTGAACATCATAGAACAGAACCAACTTGTTTAATTGAAACAGCTGTTAAGATTCATTAATTCCATTTCTCATAAGGTTAACATGGGAAACTACAGAGCCACTGGGGCGGAGCCCTTTTAAGAATTCCGAAACGGGAAATAGTTTACGTCCGATTCGCATACCTACAGAATTTACACACCAAATTTCATAACGATCGGTGAAGTCGTTCCGGAGGAGTTTGCAGACAAACACTGTGACACGAGAATTTTATATATTAGATATAAATATATATATATATATATATGAATTTGAACGGATGGTGTTTTTGGCCTCTAGGGACCTCAAAACGAAAAAAAATCGGTCCCGCGTCCAGGTCTTACCATGAGTACTACGGTAATAGCTTATTCCCTATATGGGAAATTCGCTAAAATTAATGTAGTTGTGAGTTGCTCACTGAAATAGTGTGTTAGTGTGTAGGTAAATAAATTACTAATTTATGTCAAACATGCTGATGTTTAGATTAAGTCAAAGAGTGAGGTCAACTTACTGTAAACTAAAAAGGCTATTTAAATCTCATCAACTATCTTGGAGATGGCTAAATTAAATTATTTGTGAAGAAAAAACTTGATAAACATATAAATCATTGTAGCTCATAGGGTTCCAGTGGTACTTAGTGGCTAAAGGTGTCATCAATAGTATTCTAGTCCTAGTCTACAGTGCTGCTGTAAGCCTACTTACCAAAGTGGAAAGCCCAGAGTTCGTTTGATGAGCCTCGTAAGTCTCTGTAACCACCATAGAGCAACATAGCTCCACGATGTACAAGGGCTGAGTGTCCACGTCTACCTTTAGGCACGGACACTCCCTTCTGTGACTTGATCTTGCGCCACTGGTTAGTCTACAACATCGCACCATGTGAAATGAAGTATAGATAACTAGCTTTTATGAGTGTTACAGGTTTGACCAATGAACATCTTCTTTTAGATTAAATATACATGCCGTATTCATTTTCACCATCACTGTACAGTATTGTCATATGGATGCCTATTGGAGGTGTTATCTATTGTTGACTGAAACCTGAAACTCAGCAACGTTGTTGGATTCCCTATTTAGGGCTAATTGGAATAAAAATTCACTGTGTAAAAAAAAAAAATATTTATCCAATAGTTATAGCCTTACTGTTAGAGTAATAAAACTATGAAGAAAACATTTCGACGTATCTAATTCTAGACGTTATAGAACGTAATCAAACTCCCATAGTCTGTGGTATGCAAGGGTGTCTTCACTGCTTAAACCAATTTAAAATAAACAGTATTTGCAAACTGAGATTTTCTACCATTAGCTTGTCAACAACCCTTATCATGGGTAAGTGGAGGGAGTAACTATGGTGTTTTATGGGTAAAATCACATAGATTACAATAACTTTTGAACCTTGATTTTTACAGCATGGAGGTACAGAATTGGTACCCACACAACCACATAAAAAATGCATCCACATCAGACCACAGGTGTAGTCTGTTATTCTGTATACAAACTTATCCTTTATGAAACCACGTTTTTGGGTTCAGGGGGACCCAAAACCGATATTTCCACCCGCCAAAAGTCAAACGCTAACATTTTGACAAAAAAACTTTATCTTAAAAAAAACTGTGCTAGGTAAAAATAATGACACATTTTATCATAAACTTAATGGTTTGTATGAAATACAGAACAGAGATTGACCGAGGATATGTATTCAGATTATTATACTTTGTATGCGCTTTTTGTAAAACAATTAATACGGTAATTAAAATAAAACAAAATAATTCATAAAGAAATTGTTAAAATCAAAGTCTAGATGAAAAATCCATGCTAAGTAATTCTGGTAATCTTGGTCCAAAATAAAACATATCACAGTTTGAGTCAAAACATGACCCAATTCAAGACGGGATGGGTCATTACTTGCATGCAAAGGACATATAACAGCAGTAATATGCAAAGAGCGCCAACTTGGCTGGAATAGTGCAGAATATAAAATCTTCACTGATAGCCTAACTTCAGATGCCAAAGATGCCATTAGGAAAACCATCTGAATATATATCTGACCATGTTTTTTCCACTTTTAATGAAAATTTTAAGTCCATAAAAATTTTAATTAAGTGTTTTAATTAGTTATTTTTAACTTTGCATTATTTTAGGAAAGCACAATTTTTAGTAGCCTACACATTTAGGAAGAACTGAATTAAGAAGTAGGAAAAAACTATATAATTTAAAATTACCTTAATAGTCCAGGCGCTGAGGGGGTTTGAGCATGCATAAAAGTGTAACGAAATTTGACTTTTGATTGTTGCTATGGGTACCTAGTAGATGAAGAAAATCGATGTTGTCGCATTTCTAGATGGTTAATAACATGGGGGGAAGGGGGTGAAGTTGGGGGGCCGCCCGGGGGGCCGCCGCGCACAAAATAGCTTATATCTCGAGAACCAAAAGTCATATGAATACGTTAGACACCTCAAACTGTGCAGAAAAATGCATTCTACAAATAGATTATGTAGTAGTTTCACAGAAATTGACAAGAAGTTACTAAAAATTATATTTTTTAAATTTACGATAAGTATAATCAGGAGTATAATGGTTTTTGTTGTTGTTTAGAACCATTAATTTTTAAATTGACAACTTTTGAGAGTAGTACACTATAGGTAAATAGTACTTCTGTATAATGAAACTATTGCGGTACATAACTTAACAGCTATACAATCCTCAGATCCAATAAACATAACACAAACAAAGGCGCAAAACGCGTCGCGGTCATTGTTCCTGCTGCCGTAACTAGTAATGGCGAGTACAGTTCAAGCTGAGACTTATATTATACTTTTAGAATGATGGAGATTCTGAGGATTCATTTGCATATCTATATATATATAAAATAGTATTGAGCGACTATTATGTAGCGGGAAATATAGTTTGTAAAAGAAGAGAGTTCAAAATATATTTTGGTGGTGGATCGTTTCCATCACCATCTGAAACTGCAATAAATTCCCTACAATTTATACATCTCCGAATCTGAGGTTGGTTATAACAATTTTATGTAGTTTTGAAAAGGTGATAAAAATTATGTTTTCGTAAAAGAATGTTAACATTTCACATTCTGACGTAAATTACTCAGGAAATTTCGATTTCAACAACATTTAACTATACATTTTTAGAAAGAGCTTTTACTCTTAAATTATGCAGTGTAACAAGGCTACAAATACAAGCTAGGAATACAATGGAAACTCCATGTACAGTATCTAAACTTAAATTTATTTAATTACAATACAAAATTGATTGTAAAAGAAAAGAAACTAAGGGTTCACAATAAAAGTTTACAAAGGGTGCAAATGAATTTACTAAATTAAGCTTTAGGCTAGGCCTATTACAATAGTTCTAATTTAGGTTGAGGGGTTATATTGCATGGATCTTTATCTCAGGTGGGGTGATTGAGCGGCGTTTGAATTTAATTTTGTGATTATATATAGCCTAATTAAATTTTGTTTTGAAATATAAATTATGTTCGAATTATTTTCTGAAAGGTTAATTAATTTATGTTCTATATAAGCTTCTATTAGTTTCTTGACTTTTAAATTATGGTACAAAAGTTCAAAAGTTAGGCTTAAAAGTGTTGTAATGGCTTCGATCCAAGGAAAGAAAATGTCTACTGGAGTGATCTCACCAAAATTGACGTCTTCTTCACAGTTAAATTTCTTGATGTTGTGTAGTTATTAATATTTGTAACAAGGACGGATCTTCTTTAATCAAATTTCACTAATTTATTCCAAATATATGCACTTAAAAAAAAATTTTATATTAAAATATGCAGTTTACAATTTATATCTTCATACTAGCTCAGCACTCTTAGAAGTGAGGAAGGTTTGATGCATTGTTGCATTCACATATGTCAATGCTGACTTTATCACGGAAAATTGTAGGCCACTGTTCACACATATATTATAACAATTTTCATTTGCCATAGAGCTAAATTTGAATTTTGACAAGTTATTTAAGTAAAATTATATTGAAATTGAAGCAACTTTGTTACAAAAAGTTATAGGTTATTATATATTTACATTAAATAAGGTTATTTGAAAATGTTCTATATTATAATGTATTGAATCAATTACCTATTGGTCTGTTTGGCCATATATTATACAAGGTTTGATAAAGAGAGATGGATTGACATATTGATAAAAGTAAAAACATATGGTAAAAATTAAATTATATTCTATTGAAAATTTTTGTGAAAATACTAAATTGTTACAGCAGTATAATATTTATTTACTGTTGATGCAATAAATTTATTTCTCATACAACAATTAAATACAATTTGGTAAATAAAGTAGTTTGGTAGTTTTTTATAATTTTATTTTTATGCGTATTAAAAAAAAAACATTGCTATTTCTACGTAAGGAATCATATTTTACACAACCTTAACATTTGGATAATATGGATAAAAACATTATTTTTATGATTTTTGCGGGTTGATTTAAACATTTCTAAGTTGAATAATCCAAAAAAATTGCAAACCTCTTGCTACTACGCCTAAAAGCATTGCTGAAAAATATATATTTTTATATTCTACATTTATCACTGAAACATAATATATAATAGATATCTACTTATATGGGCATGTAACTGTTCTCTGGTGAATTATATGGTACCACTACAAAAAGGGCCAAAATATAACCACCACTGGTACCCAGATAGGGTCAAGGATTGAGAGATAAGAAGTAAAATTATAATGCTTCGAACTTCAACTATAACTTCAGCTGTTCAGGTCAATTTAATTGTTAACGATTGGTGCGATGATTCGTTGCATTACTGTCAGAGACAATGAGGGATAAAGAAAAAATAACCTCTCTTTTTAAGTTTTGAGTAGTGGTTTTTGGTAATTAAAATACTGTTGCAGGTTAATTAATGCACACAACTCGCGTAAATAGTGTTAACGACACTCGTAGAAGTTTTTAAGGCACTCACCAAGGCTTGTATTTAACATTTTCTACTCGTATCGTTTACACTACCTTTACGCGATCGCCGAAACAGCTGTTGCACCAATTGTGCAGCCTGGTCAGATGATGGAAACGTTCTATAATAAATACTACCCAATTTTTTATAAACTCTCTTCTTTTACAAACTATATTTCTCGCTACATAATAGTCCCTCAATACTATTTTATATATATGAAAATGAATCCTCAGAATCTCCATCGTTCTAAAAGTATAATATAAGTCTCAGCTTGAACTGTACTCGCCATTAATAGTTAAGGCAGCAGGAACAATGACCGCGACGCGTTTTGCGCCTTTGTTTGTGCTATGTTTATTGGATCTGAGGATTGTATAGCTGTTAAGTTATGTACCGCAATAGTTTCATTATACAGAAGTACTATTTACCTATAGTGTACTACTCTCAAAAGTTGTCAATTAAAAAATTAATGGTTCTAAACAACAACAAAAACCATTATACTCCTGATTATACTTATCGCAAATTTTAAAAATATAATTTTTAGTAACTTCTTGTCAATTTCTGTGAAACTACTACATAATCTATTTGTAGAATGCATTTTTCTGCACAGTTTGAGGTGTCTAACGTATTCATATGATTTTTGGTTCTCGAGATATGAGCTATTTTGTGCGCGGCGGCCCCCCGGGCGGCCCCCCAACTTCACCCCCTCCCCCCCATGTTATTAACCACCTAGAAATGCGACAACATCGATTTTCTTTATCTACTAGGTACCCATAGCAACAATCAAAAGTCAAATTTCGTTACATTTTTATGCATGCTCAAACCCCCTCAGCGCCTCGACTATAATGTAAAAAATGACTAAAAACCTTTCCAGTTTCCATACAATTTTATAAAACGATACGTTGTGACTTTTATATGTAA